ACACCGGTACCGATACAGATTTTTTTAGAAAGGTACCCAGCCCTACCCAAGAATCATCATCCAAAATGACATTTAGATCCATTTCCCATTGTTGTTGAATGTGTTGAGTGCTGTCTGATACATCCATCACCAGTTTCTTATAAATCAAAGAGACCTGTTTTTCAATGTTCCACAGTTTTAATTCATCTATTTAAGTGTTTCTCTATGTTTTGTGGGTTCCCTTATAAAGTTTTCCCAGTCCGCATGTTGTGATAAATGGTGTCTAATCTGTAGAAATCTATACATATCACCTGGAGGGAGATTAAATGTGTCTTTTAGTTTGGAAAAAGTCTTAAGTGTATTGCCTTCAAATAACTGATTTACTGCAATCAACGCACTTTCAGCCCATCTAGTAAAGACCCCATCTGATAAAGATGTAAAAACTCGGTTCTTGTTAATGGGAATGGGTCTTGAAAGAGCAATAGTTCCCTTTAACTGTTTTTGTGTACCGTTCCATACCTTGAGTGTGTGCCTGACCCAGATATTATTTGAATTTTTTCCTGAGATTGCAAACTAAGAAAGGGAAGAGTTGATAGACTTACACCTGGTAGTGAATATTCCTCGATGGAGACCCAATGAATTTCTGGATCCTTGGTAATCCATGACACTATTGCTCTTATTTGAGCAGCCCAATAATAGAGTCTCAAATTAGGGAGTCCAAGTCCTCCCCTTTCTTTACCAGATATAATTTTAAGTCTCACTCTTGGTCTTTTATTCTGCCAGATGAACTTTGATAGATTTTTTTCTAAGGATTTAAATATGTATTGTGGTAGATACACTGGTAGTGACTGAAAAAGAAACCATAATCTTGGTAAAATATTCATTCCCACACACTTGGTTTGTCCCAGGAGTGAAAAAGGAAGCATATCCCATCTGTTTAAATCTTTTTTAATTTCTTCTATTAATAATTTATTGTAATTAGAAGAGTGAAGCTGTGTTACTGTGGAGGCAAGGAACACTCAAAGATATCTAAATCCCTGTTCAGATGTTTATAACTACAAATCATCTAACTGGGAGGGCCAATTGCCTGTAACCATCATGGCCTCAGATTTCATCCATCCATCCATCCATTATCTTTACACGTTTATTCCATTTTGGGTCACGGGGGTCGCCGGTGCCCAAGTCCAGCAATCACTGTGCGAGGGGCGGGGGACACCCTGGACGGGTCTCCAGTCCATCACAGGGACACATAGAGACAAACGAGACAAACAACCATTCACTCTCTCACTCACACCTAGGGACAATTTAGAGTTACCAATCAGCCTAACATGCATGTTTTTGGTCTGTGGGAGGAAACTGGAGCACTGAGTGCAAATAACGAGGGTGACAAAGCATACCCCTGTCGACTACCACGTCCCAATGGAAAAACTCAGAGCAGTGGCCATTTACCCTGTTTTATAAAAGATCTGAACACATTTAAGAAATGTGTCATTAAAGCCCATGCTCCTTAAGAGACTGTTGTAAAAAATCCCAGTTTACTTTGTCAAATGCTTTCTCAGCATCAAGGCTGAGAAACATTGATGGGATGTTTCTCATCTGTGCCAATGTCAGAAGATTTAAGGTCCTCTTCACACCGTCAGTCCCCTGTCTGAGTTATAAACCCAGTTTGGTCCAATTTCACAAGTTTCCTTATATATAGTTGGATTCTGTTGGCAATGGTAAATGGACTGTACTTATACAGCACCTTTCTATCAGATCAAGACACTCAGAGCTCTTTACAACAATCTGTGCCTCATTGACCCGTTCATACAGCTCTATACTAGATCTCTACAAAAGATAATTGAACAAATCATTCTAAAGAGACTAATCAGAGCTTTATCACATTCACACACTGATGGACACACATCAGAGTCAATGAGGGGGTCAGTGTCTTGCCCAGGGACACTTCGGCATGCGACTGCTGGTGGATTCAAACCCCCAACTCTTGCATTGGAGGACGACTGCTCTAACCACTGAGCCACAGCCGCCCTGATGATGGTGGTGAGTATTTTTAGTTCAACACAAAAGGCTGATCGGACGATAAGAAGGGCACAATGTTGGGTCTTTCACTTCCTTATGGATTGCACTACTAATGGCTTCAGACCATGATGTGTGTGTGTGTGTGTGTGTGTGTGTGTGTGTGTGTGTGTGTGTG